TCCAGATTCCGCTCTTTCTCCCTTGATTTCTCTCATATCATTAATAATCTTTCGTTGTATTATGAACGTAAATTTATTTTCTTTTAGACTACAATCTCTCTTTCTGAAGTTGTATTGGATGCGCATATGAGTTTCAAACGTGAAACTCAAATGACACTTAATTTTCAATCTCCTAATACAAAACAATCTAATCTGTAAGATTTATTCTTAATTTTATTGATTAATACAATAATATTGTTTTTTTGTTTCTATAGAAAAGATTATGTTAAAGATCCAATTCGGTATTTTCTTTTAATTAAGTTTTTTTTCGATCTATTTTATTGTTTTCTAGTAAAAATCTGATTGAATTAAGTAAACATAAGAACTATGATGATAATATGGCTCATGGTTTTGTTACTGTTAATATTAGACATGAACCAAAAATCGAGAAAAAATTAAATCATGAATCAGAAAAAGAAGAAATATCGAGTATGGAAACAATTAGAATTCAAAATGAACCATTAACAACAATTAATGAAGAACAGGAGTCATCTTCATCAAAGTAAATATAATTCGGAGAAATTTCTTTATTTGTATTTTATTTATATAGATCTACAAATCATTTATTTGAAGATCAACCATTTAGTGTAGGCACATGTTATTTTTGTAGTAAAACAATTTGGATGAAATCTGCTCGACAATGTCGAACTTGTTTAGTAACAGTACATAAAAAATGTGAATATAAATATAATCGTGAAAGTATCTGTACACAAGAATCTATTCGTTCAAAGTCCGCAATTCTTGAAGAAAATCAGTTAATTGATGATAGTGATTTAACTTCAAATATAGATCAAACAAGAGAAAAACGCTCGTTAACTAGTTCACTAATAGATACACATTCTCCAGTTGATACATTAATACGTCATTCCGGACGCATATTTGGAAATAAATCTCCTAATCGACCATCAACTATCCCAGGATTATTAAAACATGATGAATTCGATAATTCTCATACAGGAAAACGGTCCGTATCAAATCCGTCATCTTCAAAATTAGTTAATGCTGCTTCATCAGCTTATAATAAATTACTTGATTTTAAAACAAAACGATCAACATTGGAATCAAAAAAACCACGATCATCATCAGGTATGAATCCTATTGATTTCTATAAATAAACTGTATATTTTTTTTCTTAATAGTAATTGAAAATATTTCCGAAGATGATTTACAAGATATTATAAAAGTATGTTATAGAAAATAGTTATTTAAAAAACAATTCTATTTATCATTATTAGAAATGTTTAAGCGAAGAAAATGTTGATATGACAAGTCTTGAAAATTTATTTCATGAAAAAGCTGTTGATCGTACAGCACTTTATGCAAAAGTAAATAAGTTTGGATCCGAATTATTTCTTGATTTGCCATTAGAAGAACGAAAACAAAAACTTGAAAATGAAGTTAGTTTATTAATTATTTGTGAAAAAGACAGAATTCAATATTTTATTTAGATTTCTCGTGTACAACATGAAATTGAATTACAAAATCGAATTCGTGATGAATTAATTCTTGAATATAATGATCATTCAACAGATGAAAATAGAAAAAAGAAAATTGTAGCAGCAATTATGAAAGTTGATGAAAAAGTCCAAGCATTTGGTAAGTTTGTTTTAAATTCGAATCTTATACAAAAATTAACAACATAATTTTATTTCATTTAAGGCGCATTAACACTTCTTTATTGTACAGGTAAATACATTTCTATTTCATTTCACCCACACCCTTTTTTCGTCCATTTATTTAAGGTTTTAAACATTGTTGTTCGCCAATTGAAGTAAAAGATGATCATCATAACATCAATAGTAAATCATCATTCGATGATAAATCGTGATAATTTCGAAATTATTTATATAAGCAAGTAATATAATTGTGATATATGTGCAATATAATAAACCAAACAATCGTATGTGATACAGAACGAAACTTTCGCTATTTTTTTTCTTGTTTTTTTATAATTTATTATTTCTAACAAATTAATTTTTATAATTGCAAATGTAATTTTTTGTTTATACTAATGAATATTGATTTTCTAGATGACTGATATTGAACAAAAAAGTTTAATATCAGAAAAAACTGATTATCATGTTGAACAAGCTCGAAAACAAATCAAAGATTGGCTTAATAAACCAATGCGTGTATCAATAATTGATGGACGTGTTCTTGTCGGTGTTTTATTATGTACAGATCGTGATCAAAATCTTATCTTAGGAAATTGTAATGAATATATTGGTTCACCAAGTGAACAAGAAGAATTTCGTGTACTTGGTCTTGCACTTATACCTGGTCAACATATTCAATCAATATATATTGAAGAAGGACCTTCATCTATATTATCATATTCAAATTCATCTCATACATCAATAACAACAACAAATGATCATATATTAGATGATGATAAAAGTGATGGTTAATCGTTTTTTTTTTTTGTCTTTTCATTTGTGTTGATTTTATAATTGACTTTTTTTTTTGTATGTATCTGATTTATTCTCTGTCATTCATTTTT